ATATATATATATATATATATATATATATTTGCTTTGTCTTTTAAAGAGAAAATGCGAAGAATTCACATATGAAAGAAGATTGATTACTGTTTAAAGTTGGACTGTTCTTGCAGTAAAAAATAAGCATTTTCAGTCTGCTTCAGAGGTTATACCAGAAAATTGGGACAAAGTTTGCAAACAACAGTTGGAAATAGAGTAATCAAAAATGTAGTGACTGTTCTCAGAATTTAAATTGATACTTTCGTATGCACGCATTTTTGAAATTTGTATGTCAGTATAAATAAGAACTTCAAGCTAGAGTGTCTACAAAAAGTGAATAATTGTTAACAGGAGTCTTTTAGTGGAAAGAGAAGAAGGAATATCGGAATCAAGTTAGTTTTTGCCAAATCAGAAAGCAAATTAAAAGAATAACATGATGAGAAGCTATCAGCGAGGTGCTATGCGCAATGTCAGGAAGAGAAGAACTGTTATTAGGTGTGGTATAACTTGAATAGAAGTAGTCATGAAATGTGACAAAAATTGGGGACGGAGACAAGACTCCCGCAATTTCACTTATAAATATTGATGTCTTCTGTTTTACAATGGTTGTTAAGCCGTGTAATCCTATGTAATGATTTTAGGACACTTCATTAGTTCTTCACTGCTTTTTTGCCTTGTGTATTGAATTCAGCAATTTAACGCCAAATTCAACTCATCCTTTCTTTCACTTCACTAATCCACGACGCTAATGACAATCTACTACTTATCCTAATTTCTTTAATAACTATCATTTTTTTTACTTGCTGTCAAAAAATTGACATTGTAATATTTTTTCTATAAATGAACAACTTCTGAAACCACAGTTAATGTCTTCTACAATGCAGAATTTGGAGGGTCGTGTTTTTTACCAAAATTGTGCGGTAGTTGGTGAGAATAGCAAGATTTTTTAAGACATTAAAAGATCAAGATGTTAATCTCTGACAATTTCATAAATACTGATCAATTACAATAAAAATACAAATTAGTTATTACATTGTTTTTATTACTCTGTCATTTTTTTGAGGGTTTGACGAAATCTGCTTGCTCAACATCCATTGATAATCACAAGTGAGAATACAGAAGTGGATGCTTTTATCCTCTGATGGCTAAAAAGAGCTGTCATCAGCGATCTGGATTTTCAATCTTTTAATTATATAAAAATATATCATTTGTTAGTTCGCGAAGTATGCATTATAAACTGCTTCGATTTTCAAAGTCAAATTTTATCAGCTTTTGTAGTTTCAGTTTTAGAACAAGTTTTCTCATTTTCTGTATCAAACACCATGTAATTAACAAATCTAATTTGAAATACTGCAATAACACTTACAATTAGCCCTAAAAAGACTTCTTGTTATAACTTATGATTTAATATACAGTCAAAAAAACTAAATCAAATCTTACAAGGTTTAAAGACTGCGATGTTGAACTGAAAAGTGTCTGTTTTCAGTCAACTCATCACAACAACACATTCGTTTACTAGAATGCTTTGTAGCACATAATCAGTTTCTGTTTAAACACACATCTTTTGATAAATAAATTCAAAATAAATGATATTCGCAAAATTAAGAATTTTGCAACGAATCCATAAACTAGAATGAAGACATTGGAGGAAGTAGTTCATAATTATATAGTTTTACTTTCTTCAGGAATTTGACCTTTGTCAGTTCAATTTTTCAGAGAGGAAAATCGCACGGGAATAAATCTCTATTCTGAAGAAAATCCCAGCAGAGATCAGTTGTCCACAATGCTTCGGCTTTATTTTGCTCTTTTTCACATCTCAAGAATTGATTGCTTGATTAAACTGCAAAAAAATCAGTTGAAGTAAAGTTTTTTGATGATACAGAATCAGCACTTACAAGCAGGAAGAAAAGTTGAGATTACACTTTACATCAGAACAGAACTTGGTGGAATTTGGCAAATTCGTTAACTGAACACAGAGATAGTTCTGCAAGAGACTGCAACTTTTCATACCGTCCTGATCAACGATCTTGCTTATTGTACAACTTAATGATAAGTAGCGTTTTAACGAGACAATTTTATGTTTACATGGGGTTCCAGAGAGATCACTGTAGTATTTGTTAGATAGAAAAGATTGAAAGAAACAAGAAATATGGTGGTATCTACTTGCTGTGAACACTGAGAAAGACTTACCAGCTAATGACGTTTTTTGATGAGTTTGAGAAGTACATACAGTATGATTATTTTCTTAGGTTTATCGAGTAAACAGTAAACATGGATGAAGGAGTAATGATGAGACGTTGATACTGGAATTTGTCGTCTGTTCAGCGAGTCTGATAAATGGAGCTTGATCATAGCTTTATTTCTCTTGTTAATAACTCTGAAACATGCTAGCAAAGTTCCAGGTGATTCACTGCAGATTGTTATATTTTCAATTCGATTTCACCTTTCTCGTTGGTCATTTATCTCTTATTTCTATTATTTTTGTTCTATACAATTTACGTCTTTTTATCCAAAAATTTCAACTATTAATTTGTGATGACGGAAAATTAACTCTGAAATGCAATGTTTAGTATGCGTATTTCCTAGTTAATTTTTCTTTAAGATTATCATGTAGAGTTATTTAGTATTCACTTTTTAATTTAATTCTCATTTTTTAGGACTGATTTTGAGACTCACATAGTTTCAGTTCTCTGTAAATATGCCAGCAGTTGAATCTACTGACAGTGCGAGGAATCGTCTGGCTTTTTGGTAAGTGTATACTAGTCTCATGTTTTCTATATTATTGCATGAGGAACATTTTGGCCATCATGAATTTGTTCTTTTTTTTCAGTATGAGTGATTGTTTTAGCATGAATAGAAGATTTATATGTTTTCTTCTGAAATTCCCTGCTACTTCACAGTTGTCGATTGTATCTATTTAGACATGATAATTACCAACGAATATAGAAGCGATATTAAACTATAGTGGTAAAATAAATTGCTTTGTTTAACTTTTCAGGATTCTTGGTTTATGCAATAACTTTGCGTATGTAATTATGCTTAGCGCTGCTGAAGATATATTGTCAGTTGCTGAAGGTTCCAAAACGCCTTCGAAAGGTGTTGGCGATCCATGCCAGGTTGCTTTCTTCTATTAATGTCTACCGCAAATTATCTATTTAAATTAATTGATACACGGTACTATTACAGCATTGAGTTTATATTTCTTATTATGTGTTGGCAGTGAATCAGTCACTGATTAAATAAAACGTAGTGAGTTAAAGATTTCGGTGGATCGTTTAAACAACACAAATTTGAAGTGCTTTACATAATGTTTTATTGTGATTTAATGGAAATGGTGGTGTTAGGTCCAGCTTTCTTTCAGTTTTGTGTATTCATAAAGAAACTAATTGATAATTATTTGCAATTGTTTCAAAAATTTTCATTAATTCGATAAATATTTTAGAAATCAGTGGTCCGTCATCATTGTCAGTTATTATCTACTGGTTCTGTATTATTAGCTAATATATTACCAAGTCTGATTGTAAAATTATTTTACCCATTTGTTATGCATCCTGTTCCCTTCGGGTAAGTCATATCTTGCACACCATTAAGTACATAATTTACAAGATTTAAGGTTTTAAAGCGATCGTTTACAAAATTATTTGTTTAAGTTTGCAGCATACGACATGTTTTCATTGTATCACTTCAAATATGCAGTTTTATTATGGTTGCATTTTCTCAGAATGTGGCTATGAGTTTGAGTGGTTAGTTTATTTATGTCATGTAATAAATAAGAATATGTTCTAATTTTAGTTTTCTGATGCTGTTTGTACTGTCATTCTCACCATTTCGCAGTTTGGCTGATCTATTTGATTTCAATTATCTAGAAATAGTGCCACATCGCACTAAGAGAATGTTGTTCATTTTTTGGATTTCTGTAAATCCCAAACATACATGGGGTTTCTGTGCCTAAAATGTTCAGATTCACATGTGTTAATTTATTAGCAGTCTGACAAAATGCACCTGTCATTGTGATTAAGAATTTCAAGTAAATCATCGTTTGCTACTTCCTTTAAATGTGACAACCAGTGATGAATTTTATGAAACATCAGATAAAAGCTTTGCAGGGGTTGTTTTGGCAAGCATCGGAGCAGGCCTTGGAGAAGTAACTTTTCTGTCATTGACTAGTTATTTTCCAAAGTAAGAGTTTTCCCTGAAAATTGTGAAAAAGATTTATCTTATCCATTAACTCTTTATCTTTTTTGGCATTAAAAATTGCCAAAAATCTTTTAGTTAAACTAAAATGAGTAGAAATCAGGGTTAATTAAATTTAGCTATGTTGTTGGTGCGTGGTCGTCAGGAACGGGCGGTGCTGGAATTTTTGGTTCTTTTACTTATGCTTTGTTGACTGACAAACGTATGTTGGGATTATTACCACAAAATACGCTGTTGACTATGTTGATTATTCCGTTTTTTTTTGCTGTTGCGTGAGTTCCTGTTCATGAATCATAATTTTCGGACTGTTTCATTAAAAAGCATTTTTCCTGATAACCATGAATCCATTATTTTTACCTCATCAGTTTCCAAACTTTGCAGATATTGGAAGTTGTTACCCATTCCTAGCAGCTTACATCGCGTATCAATATGCGTACCATCAACATACTTTATTTCCTTTCCTGGTATGCTTTTTGCTTTTTTATTTTATTAAGATCCTTTAAATCATGCTAAATGTCCTTAATACCTACGTGTTAGAAGTCGATTCAAGATAAGGTAGTATAAATACTCGTCACTCATAAGAGTTTGATTTTTCAAATAGGGAACATCAGGTTTTAAATTAATATATTTGCGTTGCAATGTTTTTGAGTTGACTGCTGAAAATTTTCAAACATGTTATAATGCATTTCGTTTGTTGCTTTTAACTTCATTAAAAAGTAGTTTCAGCATTGCACAGACGAAGTAGTAGCGATTTGACGACTGATGACAACGAAGGGACACTATTGTTGAGTAATTTTTCAACTCTTGTGCAGGAATTGTGAAAAATTTCTAATTGCTTTCCATATAATGACGGATCTCCTTTTTTTGTTATTTGTTAATTGTGTACATCGACAAATTCACGAGACAGAACAGGATTTGTGTTAATTAATATCTTTATGTCAAACTATAAGTCTGAACCTTGAAGCAGTTCTAATGATTTATCTCAGATATCTGTCTGAGATACATCTAGGAAATTGACAGTTTTTTTTCCGATAGTATTCTTTGAAAATAACACTTCTTCAATCTTTAGACAGCAGTGATGATTCTGTTCGTGAAGTTCCAGTCGCTTGGCGGAAAAGTTTTAAAGACAAATTGGCCATTGTGAAAGTAGGTTTTTAAGCTTTTTCGAAGATTGGAGAGAACGACTTTAACCTAGTTTCTATTCATAAATTTATGCTGTAAATATAACAATCTCTTTCACTTTCAACTTTGAGTTGCAGGTTCGGAAGTATGAGCTAGAAAGCTAGTTTATAACAAAATAAGGATTGGTGCGAAACAAAGAAAGATTTGACTATTAGTATTGTTTACAGGTTTTATGTTTCAAGTGAACAGTACTCCATCAAATGATTTCCTGATTATACATTTTTTTCAGCCTCTTATTTTAAAATATATGTTTCCGCTCGCTTTGGTTTATTTAGCGGAGTATTTCATTAACCAAGGATTGGTAGGTTATCTTAAATTAAAGGTTGCGTGAATATGATTTCCAGTAATAGCCTCTTTTTAAAAAAATTGAGATATTTAAGATATATTGTACTGCTTATTGATTTTATTGGTCCATTGCAGTGCTGAAATTGTCGAAAACAAGAATTGATATTTTGCAAGTAGTTTAGCAGTAATTTCATACTCTTACCTCTCATTTCACAAATCTACTCCTAGGATTTGGTTTCGAACTTTAATCTAGTAGTGAAAAGTAAAATCCAAATAATAGTATCGAAAAAATGTCTATAGAAACAAAAGTAGCAAAGCTTTTTTGCAGTTACAGTTACTTATATTTGACTGTGAGCATAGTTTTGGTATCGGTCAATATGGTCAATATCGCTGGTATCAAGTAAATCTTACTTGTTTATCTGAAGAATTTTATCATTTGAGAACTAAACTTTTTCGATGTTAATTCAGAAAGTAGGTCATATTGGAAAATAAGTGAGAGACTTCTTAAGGTACTTTATCAGCTTGGAGTGTTTATTTCGCGATCATCTGTGGAAGTAATTCATATCCCATCATATCTCATGCCTCTAATTCCTATTTTACAGGTAAACATCCGAATTGCAAATGTTATTTGATTAACTTCCAATAACTGAAAATATTTACTACTTAATTTTTATAGCTTTCATTTTGCTATCTGGGTGCTTTAGGTAACCAATGCACTTTTTTTACTTTGGGACGCTCTTGAACAGTTTATACCTCACGTTGCATTCGTGTTTGTAGTTGTTATTTACGAAGGTTTGTTGGGTGGTGCTGCATATGCTAACACTTTTCATCTGCTACATAAATCGGTAATCTTTAAACACAAGTTTGAGTAAATAATCTTAGTTCTTTCCTTAAAAAAAATAGCTTTTTATCTCAAACTTTACCTATATCTCGTATACTGTCGAAGTAAATTTATATAGAAAAGAATTTTTGAAAATCGAGGATGACATTAAATGTCATCCTCGATTTTCAAAAAACCGTCTGTTCTTAAATAGTAAGTCATAAATTTGTTGATTTTTACCACAATAACACGTCCAAAACTTATTTTAGTCTCTATTTTTACTTGTTAAAAAATTAAATCTATATTTCACATCGTATCAAGTATCAAAAATTTCATCTCACTACCATGAACCCAGTTGCATTTTCATGCACTGCTCTTTGGATTTTCTGAATGAGTCCTCTTCTTTTGGATATTTTTTTTTCGTTATGCAAGATTTGACTGTATTCCACGGAGACAAAGAGACTTTCCAGCAGTTTTTTATTTCAGACCGAATCAACTGAGAAAAAAGAACTTAGTTTGGGTTTTGTCTCCATATCTGATTCGTTTGGTATTGTATGCGCGGGCTTCCTTGCCATACCAGCACATAACTACATCTGCAGTAAGCCAAATTAGATTTTAATAAGTAAGAAGTAACGACTAACGAAACAAGTTCTTGAGTTCACCTATACTGAAACGGGAAGAAAATGAGCTGAACACCCAAATGTCTAAACAGAATTCCCATGTCCACAAGTTGTTAATTTTCTATATGAATGTTTACAGTTGAAAATCTACTTGAATCAATTGGTTAATCTGTAACAGTTTTTTGATCTGTCGTTCGTTTCATTGTGTTGATGCATGTTCCTTGTGACTGTAATGCATTTTAAAGATATAAGTCAGAAATATTGAGTATCAGGATGTAATGAACATCTGTTTTGATTTTTATATTTTACGGGTTCTGTCTATTACATAACTAAATAACTCTTTAAAGAACTCTGTTGCGCAGTGTATATTTTGAAAATTTGTATCCAGTAGACGCGTATTTGATGTTTGCTTTTGATTTTTCACTAAGTAGTCTTCGTGAAATTTAATTTCACTATCAATATAGTAGTACATAGAACAGAACAATGTTAATGAATAAGGTATGCAAAGTTGCAATAAATAAAGCTGCATTCAGCTTGGAAATAATGCTTTTAACGATGAAAGACAGAAAGCCATGTCTTCTTTTAAGCTATTTATTTTCATGACCAACGATGTAGGAATATCTTAAGCTTCATGACACAAAAAATTTCTCATCATATTCTTACAAAAATACAAAAAAATGAATAAATAAGGCCAATGCAACAATGAAGATGGCACAGAGTGCAAACTTTAACCGGTTGATAAAAGTCTGTGGTTGATCTTCACTACTGTCGTGAGCCCCGGCCAACATTCGTTTATATAATGAACGTTCCTGCTCGCGGCATAACTTCAGACGTGTCCTTAGTCGTAACATTTCCCGAACAATAAGCTGTAATAAATTACTGAAATATTTCTCAAATAAAAAATCTTTGGAATGGCTGGACTTTAGCCACTACAACAATTTTGTTTGTTAAAGCAAATTGACTACACACCTCATCTTGTGGGTCGATTTGGTGAGCAGTATTCAAAGTTTCAATTGCTTCCTCGATGAAGTTCAAATTTGCATAAGCGTTTGCTCGCCTAAATAATGCTTTGGTATTCCCAGAATTCAAAGACAGCGCATTATTTGAAGCATCCAGAGTAGATTTCCAGTCGCACAACTACAAAAACATTTTAGGAATATGACTGAAAACAGACCATCGTAATCCCCAAATCTCCAGGTGGACTTTATTAGTTCATGACGCTAATATGTATTGTTTCAAAAAAAAAA